GGACGAAATTCTCCCTGACGAACTCCACCAGCAATACAACCAAATCGCCAAAGAAATAGAAGCAGCTTCAGCATTTGTCACCTCACGTTATTTGGACTTTGACAAAGCTTTACCAGTAACAATGCATGTATTTTGTGATGCATGCCCCACCACTGCTGCCGGTTGTTGTGTCTTCTTTGCTCAGAATGAGAAGGTCAGACTTATTGGCTCCAAAGTCAAACTTTCGTCATCTAAACATGCACGAACAGTTCCCCAGTGGGAATTAATTGCCATGGTAGTGGGTGCTCGCCTTAATGCAGCCATAAGAGAAATTTTCAGCAAGGATTTCCCATCCATCTCATCCCACTATTGGACTGACTCCACCATCTGTCTCCATTGGCTGTTCAGTATCAAACAACTGTCAGTCTTCATTCGCAATCGGACAACAGAGATCTTGAAGCTTACTGACCTATCCAGCTGGTCCCATGTCAGTTCAGCAAACAACCCTGCAGACATACTCTCCCGCGGATGCAGTGCGGATGAGCTACAATCACCATTATGGCAAAGAGGTCCTACATGGTTAACAGACCGTACGCTCTGGCCAAGATGGAGTCCTCACAGCTTTGCAGAAGACGATGTTGTCTCAGCCACAGCTGTAGACAGTTATGTTCATGGTAAACAGTCTAACACAGACAGTCTCCAAGACTTGATTGACATCTCACGCTTCCAGTCCTATGAAAGCATGCTTCGCTCAATGTCCTATGTCTTGAGATTCATTTCCAACCTGAAGTATGCCTCTGATAAGTCACGTAGGTCACGCCAGTGCCCGTCAGCTATTGATTTGGTAGTTCTAGTTCCCACAGCTGCTGAAATATCCCAGTCGGAAGTGGTAATTCTTCGTGCCCACCAGCTCCAGCATTTCAAGCCAGAACGGGACTATCTTTGCACAAAGCAGTCACGACCCACTCGTCAGCACTTCAAACCCAGACCTCCGTTGGTTCGTCAACTTAATCTGAAGCTCAACACAAATGGCCTTCTAGTTGCCCCCAGCAGACTCGAGCATGCAATGCTCAAACAAGACACAAGAGAACCAATTCTCGTCGCTAAAAAGTCTTATTTCACAACTCTGCTTGTTCGTTCAGTTCACGAGAGACAGCTTCACGCTGGAGTAAGAGACACTGTTGTAGCACTGCGTAAGAGATTTTGGTTG